TCCCCCCCCCCCTTTGTTTTATAGCGTCGTGTGGTAAGAATAATAACAGGTAGCAGTTGTATAGCGCAAATCCCCGCTCAACAGCAGGCTCTATGAGCATCACAATCTATACTATTACCCCAGCAGACCTGAGAGCATTCTGAAACAAACTCAACTTCCTGGGAAGCATACTGAGCTAGCGGCCATTTCCAGGCACTAAAACACTAACATACTGACAAGATCTTTCGCTGTCTATTGCCGGGTATCCATTCCCACCTGGGTGAAGTGAGGAAAAATCGTGTAAAGTGCCTTTCCCTAGGACACAACGTCGGGCCTGCAGCTCGAACCCCCGACCCCACAACCTCACGGTTACGTGTCCGGTTGCCTAACCACTATGAACAACCAGACCAGGTGCTCAGTATAAGACTCCATCATGCTAGACTTTATAACTCTATTGTACCCCCCGGGGTTGTATTCCTCACATTTTAGAATACTTCTAGTATGAAGATTCCTTTGAAACTTTCAGTGTTTCTCAAAAAATCATTTTGACAGACTGCAATGCAATGCAAAGCATACGGATCGGATCAACGAGTAAATTTCCTCTTTGGAAAGTGGTGGCACAGAGTTCCCCACGTCGTATGGATACGATAGTAAAATACGACGTATGGACGGAGTTAAAATGATGTCTGGCGCAGTTTTACACAAAGCAGTCGATATGTCACAGATCACAATTATACTTTTTCAAAAACACATTTATGACAATTTTCTACAGCAGCCTTGGCAAACGAGATTGCTAATCAGTCTGCTTTCTAAAACTGTCAGCACCTTCAACTGAAAGTAGGAGAGGAGGAGGGAGGAAAGGAGAAAGAAAGAGAGAGAAAGAGAAAGAGAGAGAGAGCAAGCAAATGGAAGGGAGAGAGAGAGAGAGAGAGAGAGAGGGAGAGAGAGAAAAATAAACAAAAAAGTAGACAGAGAAACAGAGAGAAAAATAGAGGGAAACAGACATTTTTTAAAATCGCCACGAAAAAAAAATCGGGACACACAAAAACACGACAACCTCTGGGCCTACCTTGCGACAGCGCTGACATCTCACCCACACCGGCATCACCAGCACCCACTCTGGCTTCCTCGAGGGCCGGTGCCCTAGCTCCCGACTGAGCTATCGCTGGTCCCACGAAGGAAAGAAGAATCAAAAACAGAAAAAACAGATGATTTCATTGGCTCGCACAGATGGTCTTTTAGTTTTAGTCAGGGATGTAAACAGGTTTTGAAAAAAAAAAGCCGGAAAATAATAATAATAAATAGCATTTGTATAGCGCAAATCCCCGCTCAACAGCAAGCTCTATGCACTTCACAATCTATACTATGTAGTAGTAGTATAGGGTTTTACGGCGCTCGCAACTGCTAAGGTCATATGAGCGCTAATCTATACTATTACCCCAGCAGACCTGAGAGTATTCTGAAACAAACTCAACTTCCTGGGAAGCATACAGTGCAAGCAGCCATTTATAGGCGCTAAAACACTAACATATCGACAAGACCTTTCGATGTCTATGATAAATATAAGGGAGTGCTTATTTGGGCCACATATGGCCTAAATAAGGTAAGGGAGGGGGGTTTAGCTTATTTAGGCCACAGGTGGCCTAAATAAGGTAAGGGAGGGGGGTTTAGCTTATTTAGGCTACCAGGGGACACCCTTTTAAGGCAACTGAGTTCGTTCCACTTTCATAATGGTGCACCTTTCTCATTTAGTACAGTTTTGTCTCAGTGTACAACTTATA